GACAGACAGACAGACAGACAGACAGACAGACAGACAGACAGACCACTCCAGGATATTCACTGCATGCAGAAGTGAATGGCACACTTAGAACTGCACATGCAACCCACAACTCCTAGAAATCACACACAAAACACTCAGGCACATTCCCAACTCTCAGGAACTGAAATTCACACCAAGGGACACACATACCACTCCTGGTGGCGGAAATGCAACAGAGAGCTACACACACACACACACACACACACACACACACACACACACCCTCTGAGGTTTCTAGTTACTTCTTTACTTCCTCTGCACCTGAGTCTGAATGTCACCCTGGGTCTGTATACGACCATGTCTACCCACTTGTGTGAGTGAGGAGCTTTGGATCCCTGGGAGACCCCCTAGGCTTGAATCTTTTGTTTGCTTGAGATGGGGGTCTCTTTATGTTGTCCAGGCTAGTCTTGAACTCATGGGCTCAAGCAGTCCTTCTGCTTTAGCCTCCTGAGTAGTTGGGAGGATAGGCACTCACCACCCTGCCCAGATCTTAGAGTTGAATTTTTGCTTCTCTTCTTTCTGTAGTCATGTGGGGCCATAGATATGTTTATAGGCCTCAGTTTTTTGGCCTATATAAAGGGCACAATCAGGCCCAGCACTTAGTATATAATTTGGGGATTATCAGGTATCTGCTCTGTGCATGCCAGCTGTTCCTCAGCATCCCACACCTATCTATCTCTCCAGACAGTCACAGACCCATAGACACCCCTCCATAAGACACCTCTACCCTTTTTCAAACCTGGATCCACGTAACTTCTCACATAAAAACAGTTGGCAAAATTCTACGCTGACTCAGGTTTGAGAGTTATAGCTGGCGTCAGAAGCGAGATTAGTGAGAGCCAAAGATAGGACTTTCCCTGTTTTCACTTCTGCCTTTCTCCCACCACTACACTGAGTTACTCAACCCTGTCTAGTTCAGTCTCACTCCCCCACTTTCACAATCACCTTCTCCAAATCTATGCTTCCCTCCTTCCCTTCCTCCCTTTTATTGCTTATTCCAACAGCTGTTTCTTCACTGTCATTCCTGGGCAGGTCATTTCATCCCGCTTTGTCTGTTTATGAGAGTAAGAATAGTACGGATTCACAGGACCGTGAGGAATAGAAGAATGGTGTGCAACAGGGGTACAAGGGATATAAGAATGCCAAGCAACTCATGAATATGAGGAATAAATCAATATTTTAAGAAAAACCTGCTTAGCACAGTATCTCTGGCACACAGTAAATATCAAACCTCCAGACTATTAGGTACTATATTAGATTCCATTCTTATTATTGTTTTTTTTAAATGTATTTAGTACAGTGTCTACAGGGTCTCACTACACAGATAGGCTCATAGTGAGCCTCCTGTTTTCAGCCTTCCAAGCACTGGGATTACAAGTGTGCCACCATGCCCAGTCTCAATTGCCACAGTGCTCCCAGGGAGGTGGGGCCAGCACGGCACACCAGGAATTGAAGGCCAGTCCCTGTGTCTGCCTAAGCAGGCACTTCAATCCACCAAGCTATCTGGCTGGCCCTTATTATTGGTTTAATAGTCCTTCATTAACTTTTTCTTTGGTGCTGGTGGTACTGGGGCTAGAACCCAGGATTTTTCACACTGAGCTACATCCCCAGCTCTCCTACTTTAAATTTTGAGATTAGGAGGGCCAGCCAGATAGCTCAGCAGACTAACTCATCTGTTTAGGCAGAGCACAGCAGCCGGCCAGGTTTGATTCCCAGTGTGCGGTGCAGGCCCCGCCCCTGGGGTATGCTGAGACATGATTGAGACTGGGCATAGCAGTGCATACCTGTAATCCCAGAGTCTGGGAGACTGAAAACAGGAGAATCACTACAAGTCTGAGCTACGTAGTAAGACCCTGTAGACCCTGTACTAAATACATAAAAAGTATTTATTCTGAGATTGGGTCTCATTTAGTTGCTAAATTGCCCAAGATAGGCTCAAATTTGTAATCCTCCTGCCTCAGCCTCCCAGAGTGCTGGTATTATAGGTCTTCCCTACCATGTCCTGCTTCATGAACTAACATTAATGAACAAAGAGATGACCTAGATTATCTCAAGAGATTATGTACATACAAAGACTTTAGCAGACCATAGTGCTAGCTGGTAGTTTTTATTGTGGTGTCACGGTTATTGAGCAAACCTCCCCAAGTTAATCAAGCTCAATTAGCAAGTGGGTAGCGGACAGTGAATAAGATAATTCACACAAAGTCTTCTCCCACAATACACAGTAAGAGCTTAATAAGTAGCTGCTGTCATCACTATCCTTATCATCATTCTTGGTCTGCCCTCTGGGAATTAACCAAGGATGCAAATCAGCCCTCAGAACACTTCAGTGGGACCCTGGGAGATCCTCCCACAATAACAGGAAGTGAGTGGGCACCACTTGCCTCATGCCACCTTCTAACAGGGCTGTGGGACCATTGGTGGGGAAGGGGCAGGGCAGGATGGGGTGGGGATCGGGTTTCTATTGACTCACTACTTCTTTCACCACTGTCTGGTCCACAGTCTGGTCAGCTCCTTTACTTTGCCAGGATAGTGATCTGCCTGGGTTAGAATACCAGGGCCAGTTAACTTAGTTTGTTCAAATCTCAGCCATGCCATGCTCTGTGCCTCATATTTCCTCATTCATAAGATAGGCATACCACTGGTTCCCACCTTAGAGGCTTGCTATGAACTTTTTGATTTTTTTTACATGGGTTTTGCTATGTAGCCCATGGAACTTGAGATGTTCTTTCCCCCTGGGTCTTGAGTGAGGGACTATAGATGTGTGTAGCCTCATCCTTAGCTGTTGTGAGCTTTAAGTAAGATAAATTAAGCTGTGTGCCACTATATATATGCTGTATTTAACTTTTATTTTTCTGGGCTAGGGATGACCCAGGGCCTGACCCTTACTAGGCTAGACTAACAATCTACTACTGAGCTGCACCCTCAGTCCTGCCTGATGTTTTCTGAGAAAAGTTTTTTGACCAAGGCTCCAGGCCACCTGACACCAGTTCCTGTCCTGCCACTTAACTCTGTTGATCTTGGATGAGTCACCTACCCATTCTAGTGCCTCAGTTTCCCCACGTGTGTTCTACCCACATTCACCTGCCTTATTTGTTTCTGTTGGTTCTACTGAATATGCCTCCACCTCTGCAGAGTGTCAGACATAGCGGGGATCGGCATAGAGTAGATGCACAATAAATGTTGAAGAATTGAGCTACTTCGTGCTTAAACCAAGGGAAGTTTGGGGAAGGCGGGTCGTTGGAGAGACTTTGGGGAACTTCAGGTTTTGGACTGCAAGCCTGACAGCTCTTAGAGGCCGCAGGACGTGGAGCTGGGGGAGGGGGCGCGGCGGGTGGCAAGGGCAGAGGCGGGTGGATCTCCTTTGGGCAGCCCTCGGCCCGCCCCTAGGCTTCTGCGCTGGGGTGGGCGGATGAGTAATGCATCCAGGAAGCCTGGAGGCCTGTGATTTCCGCGCCAACCCCGCCCCTCGCGTGGACATTTATCCTCTCCTGCTCCGGCCCTGCCGCCATCGCCGAAGATCCAGCGCCTAGAGAGACACCAGAGGTGAGCGGGAACCTGGGTGTCCCGGCAGGGCTGGGCTGGGCTGGGCTGGAGCCTGTGTGCTCACCGGCAGTCCTGTGTCAGATGCCTGGCCGCTCAGCTTGGCCTGTGGGGACAAGGACTGTGAGCTGGTCAAGGGGGGGGACGAGGGTGCGAGGCGGAATTGAATCCCCAATCCCGACACCCCCAAATCCTTTGAACCGCTGGCATCCATACCTAACTCCCCCAAATACATAATCCTCTAATGCCTGCCAACTTCCCCGAATTCTTTTATTGCTCCCTAACGCCCTAACCTAAACCCCTGTAGTTCTCTTAAGCCCTCAGTCTCCAACTTCCTAAACCTCAGAATTTTCTCGGCTCACTCAAATCCCTCAAGTACTCATCACCTTAACCCTAGTTCTCCCATCCCTTGAATCCCCAAACTTCCCTAGCTCCCTAAACCAACTCCTTTGAATTCCTCAATCTCCTTAAATCCTTCAGCCCCTGTATCTCTTAATATGCACAACTCCTATACTCTCAACCTCTCGCAAACTCTTCCAGTTCTTCCTGCCCTCAATTCCTTACCTTCAACCTCTTCAACCTCCGTGTTTCCCCAAACCCCTTAAATCCTAAAACTTCCCAGCCACCCTATTCACCAATTGCCACATCCCCATAATCCTCTCAACTCCCTTAAACCACCCAGATTCCACACACACACACCCAAACTCCTCCAATTTTTTAAAAGCCCTGCTAGGCATGGTGACACATGCCTGTAAACCCATCACTCAGGAGGCTGAGGCAGGAGGAATGTTTTGAGTTCCAGGCCAGTCTGAAGTGCATAGTGAGACCCTGTCTCAATTTAAAAAAAAAAAAGCCCTAAACGTCTCCGGATTTTCCAACCCCCTTAAAGTCTTCCGACTCCCCAACCCCAAATCTAGTACCTTAATCTCCCCTAGGTTTCCGTGGTCAGCAGATCAGCTAAACTGAGGGCTGCCTGACCTCTTCCTCTCCCAGCAGAACCCACTATGGCCCCCTTTGTGCCCCTGGCCTCTGGCATGCTGTTGCTACTGTCACTGATAGACACCAGCAGGGCCTGCACCTGTGCCCCACCCCATCCACAGACGGCCTTCTGCAACTCTGACTTCGGTGAGTCTGGTCCCTCCCTGCCCATACTTACCCCTGAATATCTCTGCTTTAGCCACACTGGCTTCCTCAGATTTGCATGATTACACTAGGCCCAAGTCCACCTCAGGACTTTGGTGTGGGCTGCCCTTCCCCCCCCAGGTATCCAGATGGGTGGCTGCCTCAAAAGTCATCTTCTTGGGGTGGTCTTCCCTTCCCACCTTGTTTAATTTTTTTTTTTAGCGGAACCAGGGATTGAACTCAGGCCCTTGTGCTTGCTAGGGAAGCACTTATTCCACTGAGCCATCTCCCCAGCCCCCTTGTTTAAAATTTTAATCTCTGCCCCTTGCACCCTTGATCACTGTTAAAGGAGAAAAGTATTCAGTGCTACTTGTTAAGGCACAGTAAGGCAGACTTTATTCAGGTCCACCCTGGTAGGTAAGAGTACCCATGGCAATGAGATTTTCTGTGGGAAAGATTGGGCACAACTTCTAAGGCAGCATGAGTAAGTGAGGAGCTATAGTCACGGAGCCGTGTGGGGGTCAGTGAGTGGAAAATTACTAAAAAGAAACATCAGAAGGAAAAGGGATTCTATTAATCCAAACAACAGGATTCCTGCTGATGACAGGCCTGGGGTCGGGGGATGGAAGGTGAGAAACCCCTTCAGATACTGAGGGGGATCAGATGGGGTGGGAGACTCCCACTACCCTGATTTAGCAGGATTTTTTGCTGACACTGGATTTAACAAGAAAGTACATGGATGGGCCTGGGAAAAGGTTCAGGAGCTTGGCTAGTTTGGTCAAGCAAAGAATTTTTGTCACCCCCTCACTCAGCTCTGTGTTTCTCCATCACACTTCATATCTTCTAAGGTCCCATATACTTGTTTATGTGTAGTCTGTCTCCTCTTGGATAGAATGTAAGCTCCACAGGGAAGGGATTTCTGTGTTTTGCTCATTGTTGTGCCCCTAACAGTGAGAGCAGCACCGAACATACAGTAGGCACCCTGAAGTATTTGTTGAGTGCCAAATGAATGTATGAAAAAGGTTTAAAGCAGTGCTTAGTACGCTGTAGGGCACGCAGGAATCCCAATTTACAGGTGTGTGTTTATTATGATGATTATTTTTATTTGCACACATCCCCCAATTGATGCATTTTTCTCTTTCCTCCTGTATAGTCATAAGGGCCAAATTTATGGGGACCACAGAAGTCAACATGACCACCTTTCACAAGCGTTATGAAATCAAAGTGACCAAGGTATCTCCTTGTCCCCTCCCTAGTGTTCCTTAACGTCTTCCTGCTTCTCAAAATAGAAATTTCTGGACACTGGTGGTGGGAAAAGTCTGTGATGTCAGGATTTTGCGTATAGGACTTAAGGGAAGAACTTGGAGTGGGAGGAGTTTGTCGGTAAAAGACTCATCTCATCCGTCAACAGATGTTCAAAGGGTCCAATCCCTTGGGACATGCCAACAACATCCGGTTCCTCTACACCCCCGCCATGGAGAGCCTCTGCGGGTACTTCCACCCGTCCCAGAACCGCAGCGAGGAGTTTCTCATCGCTGGTGAGGCCCCGCCCCCTCACCCTGGGCCAAGCCAATCTGACCTAAGAGGCTGCCTAGCAACTGGGTGGGGGTGAGAGGCTCGGTAGGGAACCATCCTAGGTGAAATTGGGACCCGCCCAGCCTATTAGAAGTGCACGACCTTGCAAAGAGGATCTGTATGTCCACGACGCCAATCAGGGGCTGCCCAGGCCCTGACCCAGCCAATGAAAAGCTGCCTGTGGTTTTCTGTCCTCCCAGGACAACTGCGAGAGGGGAACTTGCATGTCACCACCTGCAGTTTTGTGGTTCCCTGGCACAGCCTGACCTCTTCTCAGCACAAGGGCTTCACCAAGACTTACTCTGCTGGCTGTGGAGCGTGCACAGTGAGTGCCTGAGCCCTGTCCTCTGCTCGGAGACTCTTCCTAAAAGCGCAGGCTTGTTCTCCCCGAGACTGTTCTTTGGACTTCTTGGACAGCTTCCAGATTCCCAGGGATGTCTGTGATCTGATCCATCTGGCTATTCCCCCAAACCTAAGACTGCACCCTGAGGAATCCTGGTTGTTCACTTGTCCTGTGGCTGGTAACTGGCTTGCTTGTTCCCTGAACCTTCTACCCTGACCCTTTGACTATCCCTTGTGATTATTCTGTAATTCCCTTGTTTTTTCCTGATTCCCTGAAATTAACTTTTGCTTCCTTAGAATATTCTCCAAGTAACCAAAGTGCTTTTCTCCAAACCCACTGACTCCCCAGCACAACTCGTCGATGCTCTGCAGCTCTGGCTGCTCCAGACACCAGGAAGCTTTACCCTGACTGACTTTCTGGCTGCTCCAACACTGTTCCTTGATGGCTTTAGACATCCCCACTGCCTCAGAGCTCTACTGTCTGTTTTCTTCAAAGGGACAATTCCCCAGGACCCCTGACTGACTGACTGACTGATTCCACACGACTACTCCCTTACTGCCATTCCAAGATATTGACTGCTTGCTCTCTTGTTTTTCTCCAAGGGGCTCTTCTTGGGTCCGAGCCCAGGTAGGGAGACACCAGTTCTCCTGAGCAGCTCCATGCGACATGCTGAAGAGAAAATTCTCCATAGGTGAGGGAGGGAGAGGGTGGAGAAATTCTCAGAGATGGTTTCTCCCTTCTCCTCTAGGTGTTTCCCTGTTCATCCATCCCCTGCAAATTGTTGAGCGACACTCACTGCTTGTGGACAGACATGCTCCTGAGTGGTTCTGAAAAGGGCTTCCAGAGCCGCCACCTTGCCTGCCTGCCACGGGAATCAGGGCTGTGCACCTGGCAGTCCCTACGGACCAAGACAGACTGAATGAAGCCTGCCATTCATGGCAACTGAAGCCTTCACGGTGTTCACTCCCTTCCCACTCTCCTGTTTCTCCCAGTTTTAAAATAAAAGAACTGTCATTTAGCAGACACTGTCTCTGTATAGTGCCTGTGAACAGACCCATGTCACTGGCAACCTGGTAGGAGCACCCTGGGCTAATGGGAGGGGCAAGAGGGATATTGGATTTGGGGGCTAGGGCTATAGCTCAGTGGTTGAGCACTTGCCTAGCATGTATGAGGCCCTGGGTTCCGTCTCCAACAAGATGAAAAAAATCATGGTGAATTTTTATGTTTTATATAAAATTTGATGTACTAGTAACAATCTGATCATTGGCGTAGAGCTGGCCTTCATCACTTACGGTCATTTAACCTGTGTTATGAACTCCAAATCACTGAATGCTTTACTTAGTACTTTAACATATTTTACTATAGTAGTTTCTAATTCCTGTTTTCCCAGGGCTCTTCCATTAATAAGTTATCCCACAACTATAAATCTCCCTATTCAGAAATCGGAGTTGACAAACTCATTGATACATACCCCATTAATTAGCAAATGGATTTCTTTGCCTCAGTCCTTGTCCTGATGTCCAGTGAGGATGCCCATCCAACCTGTGTCATTGTTCCCAGCCTTATGTTCTGTACTGTATGTCTAACGTGTGACAGGAGGGGATGCAGAGCCCCCACTGTAACCTTTGGCTGAACTCGAAGGGTAACCTTTGCACCACAGCTATGGCCTGTTGGAGATTCCTTAGGAGGAACTGTTTGAGGCACAAGAGGAGGTAGAATGGGGAGAAGTAGTGATCCTGAAATTCTGAGGTACTGCCCTACTCTCCTCTCTTCCTTTTACTGACCAACCTAACAAAGATTGACCATAGTAAATGCAAGTGGGGCTCAAATTTAGAACTACACACACACTACATCATACACACACACTGGCCTATGCCTCCCTTTATTTAAATGGGTTTCTCTACTTGGGCCTCACCTTCTGGATCATCTTCATAAAACCTGAGCAAGAGATCTTCCGAACAACCCCTTCCTTGCCGTTCTGCTCCCCTGTTGGGTCTAAGCTTTTCTAGCCCTTCCCAGCCATTGGATCCTGCTCTTGATTCTCCAAAGGCCCTAACTCAAGTAACACCATAGGGAACCATGATTTAAGATTGAGATAAACCCTCAGTGGAACACACAAGTGCCTTATTGACTTAAATCTATTTGACAAAGGATCCAGTATGACGACTTTGATCAAGAAAAGGACCCTGCTCCCCAAGTCCCTCCCATCAGACTACACACTGCTAATAAGAACCCAAGCCTCCTCCAGAGTATCCTAGGTTGCCAAGCATGGCTCCCTGAGTCCTCTGTGGTCTTGCCCCAGAGCACTCTACACTCCTAGGAGGTTCCACCAGGCCTAAGTTATGCCCCAGATCAGGATGGGCAGTATTTTAGCAGCCAGTACTTTTTCCCCTGAACAGGGAACACCAAGGGGGCTCAGAGGTAGAGCAACAATGTCTATAGAAACACGTATACCTTGGTTTTTCCTGGCAGGTCAGAACTCTATCCATCAAAAGGGGAAAACGGCAAGCTTTGTGATGGGTACAACTGCAAGGGAAGGGCATGGGTACCTTGTGGTCCTTCAGTAGCCTGCAAGACCTTAGAAGCTCCTGAAAATTCACCAAACTCTTTCATCAGCTCCTTGCACTCTTTGTTTTTTTTTAATCGTGTGTGTGTGTGTGTGAGAGAGAGAGTCTCATTTTTTTAAATTTATTTATTTACTTATTTATTGTGTGTGTGTGTGTGTGTGTGTGTGTGTGTGTGTGTGTGGCCAGCTCAGCCCACCAGGGGGTGGGGCTGGCTGGCATGTGGTGCTGGGGGATCGAACCGCGGTCCCTGTGCTTTGCTCAGCTTCGCTTGTTCTAAGTAGGTGCTCCAGACCACCGAGCCATCCCACCAGCCCTCCTTGCACTCTTTGGTTGCTTACTAACATCAGGGCCCATTCCCTGAGCCCTAACCACTCTACCTCTGGGAAGGAGGTGAAGTAGAAGGTGTCAAGCAAAGGGCAAACCCAGCATAGAGGCCGCCGTTCTGCCCACCAGTCTGTCTTGCATGTGGGGCTCTGCCTTCAGACCTAGTGAACATTAGCAGGTGTGACCAGTCCCTCAGAGCACAGAAAGAGCAGAACAGGACTCAATGCTGCTCTTTCCTGAGACCTGAGCTCATGGTAGGATCTATAGTTCCTGCAGGATGGTATGAGCTCCTGGCAGGATCTATAGTTCTGGGATGATCACATCCCCTACGACTTTCTAGAAAATCCATGCCAGTAAATACTCTCCAGCATTCAATGTGTCTGTGTGTTGGTCTCTAGAACTTTCGTGATGACCAAGAGGAAGCACATGTGTTTGTAGCTACATGAGATGGGTAGCATGCGATCCAGCTCAGTGGGTAAACTGGGCACCCGCCCTTTCCTTGCCTGAGCAATAGTCTTCTCCCTAAAGTGTGGGTATCACAGTCCCTACCCAGAGTTCTTCAGGCCTAGTGTCTGTCAGGATTGGAGAATTATTATGAGGTGTATTTATCCCTTAGAGGGATAAGGCCAAAACACACATGAAAATTGTCTTCTGGATGGCTAACAACCTAAGTTTGCAGACCAAAATTAGAGAAAAAGGAGGGCTGCAAGGAAAGCCAACATTTGGGCCCTAGACTTCCAAGGTCAATTAAGACTCAGGACATATGAGAACTTGTACTGTAACGTCATGTAACTCGGTAGTGTCCCAAATTTTCTGATCAAGGAGATTATGGGGCCAAAGAGGAAAGTGATCGATGATGTAGAGTGTGCCTAAGGAGAGTCACATGGAGAGAAAACATTCTCTCAAGCTTTCACAGAGAGCACACTGGCCAAGCAATGGCCGTGACTCATCCACATGGCTGACACTGACAAAGGTTCTACAATCTGAGGTACAGGATCTCAGGACAAATCCTGAGGGGATTTCACTGACCTTATCAGACCCAAAAGCTACAACTCTTGTTGCACAGGTCCTGCTTTACCTTGGTCTTAACTATCTAGCAGAAAAGTATAAAAACGAAATATAAGAAGTAAAGCCATGGTGTTATGTTGAGCTGTGGGGGACTCAGGTAACAATTTCTGACATTGCCAGTCAAGCGGAAGACCCAATACTATTATGGGCTACTGGACTCTTTTGGAATATTTTGCTGAGTTAACACACCTATAATATTCAAATAATGGAACTTAACCAAAAAAAGGGATACAGATGAATGTCCATTTTGTATCTGTGTATTCAAAGTGGTTAGGATAGATATATAGTTACATTCTCTTAATGAATAGAGTGATTTGTTCTAATGATGTTAGGATATCATGTCTGCATCTTGAACAGCAATTAACCACTAGGAAGAAGGTATGCAATGTGTTAATTATTGAAACTGTCCTACCAATTTGATTTGAAACTGTCTCATTGCTATTTGTTTATCAATAAAATTATGGGGGAAAAAAAGAAAAAAAGAAAATTGGCCTGAGGTTGTGGCTCAGAGGTAGAAAACTTGCCTAGCATGTGTGCATCCCTGGACTCCATCCCCAGTACTGTAAACAACAAAAACCAGGACACTCTTATAACAGTATCTTAATGTGCAATATTACTAAGAATGACTTAATTTCTAGAGAGGCAGTGTAGTATGCTGGTTAAGGACATGAACTCTATAGCCAAGTCATTGTCATTCAAATCCTGCCCCTGCCATGTCCTAGATCTCTGTCCTCAAGAAAAATCATATTGCTTTTCTACTCCTAAGCTCCCACATCTGTAAAATTGGGCTAAATGTATGTCTAACTCATAAGGGTAATGTGTGTATTGAATGAGGTAGTATATGCAATGTGCTTAGAACTGTGCTAGGCATGTAGCACTTATAAGTAGTAGTTACAGTAAATGCAATTAAATGTATAACTAGCAGTGATAATTTTATTAGTAATGAGTAATAAATTGTTTCAAATAATTTTTTGTGAGACAGGGTCTCACTATGTAGTGTAGGCTGGCCTTAAACTCACTATGTAGCCTGGACTGGCCTCAAACTTGAAGTGATCCTCCTGCCTCAGCCTTCCTAGTGCTGGGATTATAGGTAGGTGCTAATGTGCCCAGCTGCAAATAATATTTGGTACTAGCAATGAAAGAAAATGTTAGAAATAATGGAAATTAGTAGCAATGATTTCATGCATTCCAGAACTCTTTGTATAAAATTCATGGTCACGGTAATCATTCCAGAGATGTTAAAAATATGTAATATGCTCACTTGTAATATTATTATGATGATGTTTATACACTGCTTTCCAGTATGCAAATCCCTCCACAGACAAATACCAACATTTTAGAAAACTTCTAAAGAAATCTATTTCCCCACCACATGATAAAAATCCCCATATGCAGTCTTCATTGCGGATAAATCTCTACTTTGATAAATCTCTAATGTTTCCAAGACTACAGATGACAAATCCCTAAGCCCTTGGTAAATCTTTCCTTGGATTAGTTCCATCTCTTCACTGAGACTAATCCCTTTTCACAAATACCCCACGAAGAGACATCTTGTTCATAAATATTCCAGTGCTATCTCTCCAGTAATAACCCCCACTGACAAATCTTCCCATTCACAAATATCCAGCACTCTATTGCCTACTAATGGATCCCAGCCACAAGTATCTCTCATCCCATCTATCAACCTAGTAGTCTCCTCCCAGCTGACAAATCTAGTCATGAGTATCCTTTTGTGACATCATTCTTAGGACAACCTCTATTGGCAAATCATCCCATTCACAAATTTTGACCCACTGGTACATTTCCCCAGTATGTACCAAGAACAGTAAAACTCTCCATTCAAACTTATTCATTAAAAAATGCTCCCACTGATAAGTCCCCTTGTAAAATCTTTCCATTCAGAAATACCCACCATTGATATTTGTCTTATTAATAATCTTGCTTAAAAATCTTCCTATTCTTAAGAACCCAGCTATCCATATATTTGCTATTGACTGATCCCCTTACTGATAGATTTCTCTATCCTTAGATATATCCAGTTAGAAAATAACCCTGCTAAAACAG